GTCGAAGTGTGCCGGTGACTCTAGGATCGCCGGAGAAGCCAGATCCCCCGATGACTGGGGGACTGCGTGCCGAACAGCGTGACGAGCGCAGCACCAGCAGCGCCAGCAGCGTCATCATTGCCCCAAAACCCCGAAGACTCAAACTTTATCTCAAACCCCGTTATGTACCGGACAATGGCACACCAATGTAGAGTTGCAAAACAAGTCTCAACGGTCAGAACACCTCGGCGATCGGACATAGCCGTCCGTGGGCGCAGCAGCGAGTGACCTCCAGCATTTGTGTAAGCATTCTTCAAAGTCTGGAGGATGCTTTAACTACACAAGCTTTCATTGATCCGGATGACACGGGGCGTATGGATGAGCACTGAATGATTTGGAGACCCAACATCCGTAGCCTGTGGTTCGCAGTTCTGAGGATTGTTTTAGTTGCTGTTACGTCGCCAGCACTTCTAAGGTCCTCCACGGCATCTACAGCGCCACCTTCTCCAACTTGCAGCATGTAGCCTAGCGGCATACCGAAGCTGCGTTGCACGCTAATCATATGTTGGTTTTTGAGGCCTTGCACATCTGCAGCGGTGTCCTCACCGAACCGAGATTTGCTGTGGCAGCTGGAGAGGGAGAAGGCAGCTTGGGCCCGCATCGAGCGAGCGTAGGGGAGTCCTCTAAGATATGCACAAAAGGATCACAAAGCGTTGTGTTTTCTGCCCTGGTGTGCACACCTTTAGTTTTAGTCTCAACGGCAGTGTAACAACAGCACGCAAAACATAAGGATAACCTTTCAGACAACCCGTTATGTGCAGCAACGGATTGTTGTTCTCAACTTCAACCTTGCCTGTGGGCTGCGTTTATGGAGAACCCGCACACATGTCTTAGGAGCTGTCTGCGCTTTCACGCGATGAGCTCCGCCAAGAGCTTGGACTTGCGACTCGTTCTGGCAAGAGCGATTTTGCAATGAGTGTCACGGTACAAGAGTCTAGGTTTCTTTCGCCCTTTAAGGACGGCACAGATGTCGCTGAGAACTGGAGCCGGCACGACCTGCTGATAACTTTGGTGGAGATGGAGAAGGCATGGTCTGCACGGATGGTATTCGGCCCCAATGTACAAATCCATCAAGAGGCGCAATGCAACGGCATGGGGAAGCCCGGCAAAGTCAGTGCACTGACGAACCGTTCTCCTCAAGTTGTAATGGTGCATGGGTTAGAAGGCCAGACTGTAAGGCTTCGGCTGAAAGTACTTTTGCTGACACTTCGAAATCTTCTTGCTGGGGCCTTGCCTGGCCTTTGATCCTGATCAGGTCATTCCGGACATGTCTCGCCTGGCGATCTGACCTGCCCAAGTAGTTCGATGACAGTCAAGGCTTTAAGAGCTGACTGTCTTGCACCAGCTGCTTGGGCTGCCATTGTCAAAGACTTTGCGCAAGCGTGGCCCTGCCAGCAGATTCTGCCTTGCAGCTGGGGCTTAGAATTCAGGCATGTCGCATTTGAAGAGTACAGCCGCGGAGCTTGGTGGGGCAAGTGCGCTGATCTGTAAATGAGAAGCAGTTCTCTCACCCCACTCACTTTAAAATGGCATTTTTGAGGTGTCAGGCATGCAGCCTTGGGCACCGAAGGCAGGCGGGGCTGGTCCGATCCTGCTTTGCCACATCCTTCGCCACAGGCTGCGCTGACAGCCTAGACCTCGCGGAGTATGCTTGATTTCCTGGGCCTGCAAGAGTGGAGCAGGGGTTCTCTGGCCGTCCATCTTTGAGCCCTACTCGATCTGAGCTTCCGACACTCCCAATTATGGGGAGCTTGCCGAGGAGGGGGGATCCTGGCAGTTTGGCGCAAAGAAGCAACGCCTTTTCTCGAGGCGGCAGGCAGAGCCTGCGATCCTCGACACTCTCAAAAGACCCTTTTCAATCAGCTTTGAGGCAAACCCCACCGGCCTAGTTGCCCTAGTTCTACTTGAATATAATATAGAAGCATCTTCCCAGCACAATGCATTCCACGGAGTTCAAGACAGGTGGGTGGTCAACAGACCAAATTCTCGCAATTGCGACGAGTTTGGTCCGGTGTGCCTCTTTCGGAGCTTAGCGGGCAGTCATGGCCAACCCTGCTGCAAATGCTTACTTGGTGCTCTCGACAAGTTTTGCATTGCGCCTGGTGTTCGCAGTCCCACCAGCCGGAGGAAGAACAAGTTCAAAATCTGATGCTCCACAGCGGTCTGTGACCTTGGCGCAAGGCCTCAATTTTGAATGTTAATCCGGGTGCTACTCCGCGTCCATGTGTGGTGCTGGAGACGTTTGCCGAAGGTTCAGCCACAAAAAAGCAGTCGTTCAGCCGTCATCTCCAGTGCCGAACCCTGTCACTAACACAGACAATGAGACACAAGCGGCTCGTCTGGTGACGGTGCCAGTGGTGCCCATTTCAGGTTAACTACCTTCGTTCCTGAGGTCAGCATCAGCTCGACCACAGTGCCTTGCCGCACTGGATGTTCAGTTTTTGCCCTGTACATACCATGAGGAGTCGTGTGCCTTCCATGGCCTCAAAGACAGTTTTTGTCCAGCGTGGACGTGATCCGCATTCAATAGAGAGAGGTGTGCATGACTCCGGCAATCAGAGGACCTCAGACTTGCGACAGAAAAAGTCATGTCTGCTGATGGGCCTCAGAAGCTCGAGCACGACAATTCCTTCCACATGCTTATTGGACCATGACTATCTTATGAACACGTCAATGTGCACGCTTGACACTGGTTGTAGCCTTTACATCATAGAAATCAGGCGGACATGGGCTTGAGGTGTTGAGTTCGCTCGCTATCATGCGTTTTCGGGTTGAAGGCCTGGCAGATACTCTTGAAATGTTGGGCTTGCTCCCTGGGCATATTTGAGGGTTGGGACTTTGCTTCCTTGTTCGGGGTTGGGGTGTAGGGCAAAGCAGTCGCATCAGAAGTATGCTGAACGAAAGGTTCCGAGCTGTGCAGAGAATGATTTTTTGCTGCGCGGGACGCGAGACAAGTGGAGCACCTGGACACAGTTGCATTCGGAAGCCTGGGCCTGCTCAAAACATAGGTCTGTACACGCTGTTGAGATTTTCTGCTCAAGTTTTCTTCAAGGGTGTTCTGGATTCATCGCTGAAAGCAGTGGCACTTGTCAAGACAGATCTAGCTGCTGTCGTGTCGCCGTTGGGACTCGCATCTGATCATGACCTTCCCAACGTCCATGTCTCAGTTACCGGAGAGTACAGAGCCCTGAGCAGTCCAGTGGCTTTGTATTTCCTGCTCTCATTTTTAAAACACAATGACACTGGCTTACGAGGTCGATGCTGAAGCAGCAAAGGAGGCCGATCACCTGGCAGGGCCCTTTTCATGCCATTGCTGGGGCGACTCATGAACAGAGGCTTTCTTGCAGATTGCGGAGTTGTGCAGAGCCCTCGAACTGGTCGTTGGACAACCTGAGAGCATTTTCTTCATGATTTGAGGCGACGGCCCTGCTGTCCATGGTGATGGCTTTCGCCATTGTCACGTGCGGATTTGTTCCGTCAGCAGGCATTGATCCGTGACATCTTAAGCATTCTGTGTCACAGAGCCCGTGGCAGGATGGGTTGGCGGCTCGAATCCTGCTGAAGCCCCAGAGAGCAAGCAAGCCTTTGCAAGTGACCGCGCAGATGCATGAGTGACAGAATCAAAGCTTGGCTCCAGGGGATCGTTTCTCGAAGCGCCAGCCTCAACATGCAGCTCCATGTGCTCTTCGAGAGTGTTGTGCATTGCGAATCCGAGGCATACCGCGCACGCAAGCCCGAGTGCAAGTGGGAGAACCAGCCTTCAGACCTGCTTATGGCACTGCCGGCACGGAGTTGCAGCCGTACGGTACGGTGTGACAGTGCAGTTAAGAGCAACTGCAAGGCTTCGAGCGTGCATCGCCTTTGGGACCTCGGCCGCAAGACGGAGAGGAGCGGGCGGCCTGTCACTGACCCGAAGCCTCCGAAAGCACACCCTGTCACGGTTGCCGTAGTTCAAAAACAGGCCGTGGCGGGTCTTCGCACCTGGCTCAAGCAGATGGGCCTTGAGGCAAGGCGATGCGTCCGGTGGAGTGTGGTGAGAAGCCATGCGTCTGTGAGAGTGTGTGTGTCTGTGTGTGTGCGCGTGTGTGTGTGTGTGTGCGCGCAAGCTGCTTTTGCAGGATCACCTGCCTGCTGCCAACGCGTGGTGTGAGGAGATGGGCTCGGCACCGAGTTGGATCAAGTAGGACAGGACAGCCTGCAAGCTCTGAGTTCAAGGCGCCTCGGTTATGGCCGAGATTCTAGAGGATTTGGAGGACTTCGTGGAGGCTCGCATGGATCTGACATGATCCAATTGTCAAGACCTGCTTGGGCCTTCATAGGGGATGAACCTCAACGACGAGGATTCGCAGACCCTGAGAAAGTCCTAGCGCTCAGGGAAATCCACTGGGGTGCTCGCGTGTGCCCAGTTGCATTATTTCAGTTTATGGCCTGCAGGCGTGGAAAGGTCGCGCTGTCCAACCTGCTTCAACGTGGGGAGTTTGAAGCCGAGAGTGTTCAGACTCAGCCGTTGAGCCTTGCGCCCAGCGTCTTGCGGACCAGGATCATCGAGCAACAAGCCGTGGTGGATGGGGAAGAGGAAAGAAGAGATCCAGATTAGCTTCTGTCCGTGATATAGTCTGGCAGGAGTTCAAAACTTCGGGGCGGACCTTTCTCAAAAAGCACGGCTCACAGTTGACATTTCTCAAATCGTTAACGTCATTGATGTCTGCTACATTTGGAAAGGCCGATGAAGAACGCGAGCTGATGCCGACTTCCACTATTGTGCAGATCTCCACGACATCGCCTTCGTGACTCGAGACGAGCCAGGACACAGGACCGCTAAGGCGCTCAAAGATGCCTAAGCAGGCTGAAGCGCTTGGCATCGCTTGGCAATGTGCAATTAGCACGTGCCGATTTACAGCTCACTGCAGTGTAGTCAAACTCGTCGTGCTGAGAGTGCTGACCAGCCACAGGCAAAAAATATGTCAATGTGTGAAGTGCGGACGAAGCCATGCAGCGTCTTCGTGCCGCGACAGCGTGAAATGCACCGCGCAGCGCCGAACGGCTCCAGACACTTCTGCCGAGCCAATGGAATGCTCCCAAAGCATAAGATGCAAATGCCCAGCCTCTCCGTGCAGCCCACCCCAGCCCAGCTCTGCTTCCCTAACGGCTCCGGGTTCTGCTGGCATGCTTGGCGGCTCGCGAGCGTTCGCATGCAAAGTCCCGTCGTCGATGGCTCGGCCTTCGTTGCAGAGTGCTGTTCTATGGAGCACTTTGTGCAGATGAGGCCTCGCCACTTGGAGGTTTCGGTCCTGTTTGAGTCGGTAGCGGGAGATTCAAAAGAAAACACACACCAGCAGTGGCAGGCATCGGAGAGGCCCGGTGCTTCATGATCTGCTGGGTGAGCTGTTGGAGCGTGTTCTGCAGCCAGCAGGCTCTTCTTTCCGATGGTGCAGTTGCAGGCTCCCATCCAGTCATGGCAGCATGGTCTCATTCAGCCGCGCTCCTGCAGCCTGCGAGGCCTGTCGGAGCCGGGATCTCCCGCGCTGCTCTTGGAACCTATCGCAAGTATCCTGAAAATGTGAGAGCTGCCCCTGATCTTTTGCTCGCAGGTCTCGCAGGCATGGTCAAGTGTCCGGCAGAAGCGGCAGGATTCCCCTTTGAAGAAGCTTGGAGTCCGCCTCCGAGTTTCCTGCACCGCACTGTGTCGTGTGGGGTGGACCGCATCCATCGTACGGGGACTTGTCTGTTTGCAGGGGAGCTTACTTGTTCGGTCGCTGCATGCGTTCCGTGTTTGGTTGCAATTCTTGGTGTGCAGGATTGCATGCTTGTGTGTTCTGCCAGTTGCAGCCTGTGTCCTGGGCTTGTGTGCACGTATGCTCCAGTCAGGAAGCAGTCGAGTTTTTGCACACACGGCTTGGATTCTCGCGTGTCTTCTTTCCTTGCTTGAGTTTGCGCTGCGAGAAAAGATGGCTGCATCAGCTAACGCGACAGAATCCGAATCGGCTGCTTCGGTGCTCGTTTTGGCTGACACCATAGATGACTTATCATGACTTATGGTTACAGCTTCCGGTTTCCTTGCGGGCTAAGCTGTCTCCAGACGGCAACTTCCCCGATGTGGAGATTATCGATGCGTTGTGTCTTGACAGCAATGACCGCACATGACTTAGCTTGGTTGTGCTTGGTCTTTGGTCGACTGCAAGCATGTGTTGCCGGGCGTGCCAAGCTCAGGCAAAAACGGGGGGCTTGCTTGGGTCCGGCTTTCCAGTGCTTGGAAGTAAACCGCCGCCGCCAGCGGGTCATGAGTGCATCTGCCCCCGATGCAATTCAGTGGTTGGTTTCGCTCTCTGGTGCACGGTGCAGTTCTCGACACTTGTGCTTGCCTAAGTCTCGCCCGGAGGGAAGCCGCACGGAGCTGGAAGCCAAAGCGTTGGATCGAAGAACCAAGCCAGCTAGCGGCCATCCTGATTGATGCGAAAGTCCCTGCGCTAGCCGAGGCCGATGATGCCGCAGAAGCCAAAAGACTGGCTTTTCGGCTATCCGGCTCTTTGTGCTGCGGTGTGTCCCGTGAGCGGCGGCAATTCTTGGGGCGTTGGCGTGTTTCTTCAAGTGGCCATGAGTACGTGAGGACAGCCCGCAAAAATGTCACCCACCTTCAGCTTGAAGTGGTCAATGGTGTGTTAGCAAATTCTGCCGACGGTGTTCGAGACATCGGTCTCTGTGTACTAGAATCGTATCTGTAGCAGTGTGGTGAAAGATCCAGATGTCACTGCTGAACAGCTGCGGCTCTTGCAGCTGGGGAAGCAGGTGCTGCCTCCACCCATTTCTCCGACAGAGCCTGTCTGCACCATTCCACCGCCTGCAGCCGGGCCAGTTGATTATCTGCTTAGCGACAAGCAAGCCGTCGGCGAACGGTTCAAATATTTTGTGTGCATCACAAAAAATCGTCGTTTGCGTCGCCTCCATCGCTAGGGAAGTTGCAGTGCGAAGCCGGGATCCACTGTCAGCGCCTTCGAGGTGCTACAACGATTTGCAAGGAGTCCAATACGATTATGCCTGCAGGCATTGCCGGTCAGGCGGCAACATTGACGAATCTGGTTCGTCAGACACTACTGATGCCAGTTTTGCTTCCTCGAGGTCGTCGAAGTAGGCTGGCCAGGCTCAGTGTTTTTTTTAGGTGTGTAGTTAGGGGCATTTTCCTTGCGCCTGCTGCGTTTGGATGTGGGAAGTCTGTCTTTCAAAGGTGCTGTGATGCACTCTTTGAAGTGTGCGACCGCTTGGGGCATACAGCAACATTGCTTGTCGTTCATGCTGTTGACAGTTCCTTGTCGACATGGTGCATGTCATCGTTGACAAGCGTGTCAACATGTTGCTCCTCGCTGCGCATGTGCAATTGCTTGGGAGGCTCCCCACTTCTAGCCGCCGTATTTAACTAACTAAGTATGCTCGCGCAGTTGTGCATTTGTTGTCTTGATCTGGCCTACAAGTCTGTAGTGTCGCTCTCTGCTAGCTTCTGTGCCAGTTGTTTGCGTTTACTCGATTGCCAGTTCCTCTCGCGTCGGCTCTGTGTTGCAGCATGCCGGTGGTTGAATTGACTACAGAGCCGCGTCTTCGGATTTGAAGTTCCACCTGGCAGAGAAGGACGTTCCCGAAAAGGTGCAGATGGCTCATTTCCATGCCGGGCTTACAAATTTGCATCTCGTCGCCGGCATCGATGAAACCGCGCGCTGTAGTTCGTGTCGCGTTGGCTGCAGGGATTGGCTTGAAACATGATGAAGACACCGCTTCCCGCATTGCCGTGGCAAGCGTCTTAGCAGCTTGGGAATCCTCTCGCCTCCAGACCGCTACGGAGGAGAAGCTGAGAGTTGAAAGCCGCCTAGGTCAATCGCAACGTGTCTTTCAGCTCTCGGAGATGGCCGCTATGCGCAAAGCCGTGCAAGCAGATTTTGGCAGCCTTAGAGACTCCGAGGTGCCGAAATCTTTGGTTGCGATTAAACTCGAGCAGATTGAGCAAGGTACACTTCATGCCGAGGATTTGCGAGAGGTTCTATGCCTCGAGGATAAAGACATCGATCTCTTCAGCAGCATCGTCGAGCATGGAACGGGGCACTTGAAGATTCGTCCCGGCACGGCCCGTGTGGCTTTGCCTACCACCGGCCAGGAACTGCGTCATCGCCACCGGCTGATTGCTGTAGCATGGCTCATGTGCCGTACAAAGCATGTGAATCAGCCTTGGCTGTCTACAGACCTGATAGACGCGTTTCGCCGGCTGTCGGATTTGTTTTGGGCAAGCACATCGCCAACCACCCCTCGATGGTCGGAAAAGAGACAAAGCGGCCGGCTTGGAGTTTGGTGCTTTCTTTTGAGCAGGAGCTTCGAAAAAAGGCATACCACCTTGTTCGGAGTGGCGACGCCAATTCCTTGTCGACTGCTTTGGACGCAGCTTGCAAGTGCCCGGAGATTCTCAACCTTCACTTTCTCATGCCGTTGACTACCTCTACCGAGTTCCTCTCTTCTGCCTGCGATCAAGGCCATGCATGGCTGCACAGTGATGGTTGGCGCCAGAAAAGGGGCAAGAGCAATGGCGAGGGAGGAAAAGATGGCAAGGGTCACGTCAAAAAGCTCTTCTTGAAGACTAAGACGGCGTGCGGGAAGTGCATTTGTTTCAAGTTCAACAATGGCAAGTGGCATGGTGGCTGTGGCTTTGAGCATGTGTGCCAAGCGTGCCTCACGCCTGGGCACAGTAAGACGGACTGCCCGGAGAAGAAGTCTAGTGTCCCTCGGTTTCTTGCAGCCGGCGCTCGCCTTCGGAGGGGAAGTTCTTTGCGGCGCAGCCCGCCTTGGAAGACCCAGAAGACTGCTCCTCTTCTGACGACGACATTGATGCTGGTGAAGATGATGACACTGGTACCTCTGCGGTCTCTTTCTTGCGGTCTCCTGATTGCAAATACAATCAGCAAGCGTCGCCCGACGATTCCTCCGATGAAGATGAGGACGGCTTCCCCAGGCAGCGTTTGGGCTCTGGGCCTGGGGCAGCGGCCCTCCTATGTTCTCTGTGCTGATGGGAAAGAAGCGTGCCTTTGTGGATGGTGCCGGCTGGTGCTCCCCTGGCTGCTGGCCTCCCGAGCAGCGCAAACACGAACCACAGGACGGTCGTCTAGGCATGGCGAAGCATTGCTTCGAGCAGTTGCAGCAGCTGTTGCGTGACAAGTTGGATCCCCGGCGTCTCGTACTTGAACTTGCATGCGGCAGACACCATAGCTCACCCTTCGATGATGAATTGTTGGACAATGCTCGGCTTATCATCAAAAGGCAAATCCATCGCTTCGGCACCCAACTTGACCTGGATTTTTCGGTTAACGATGCTGGAAGAATTCGTGCGACCTTCGGGTGATCCCGATGTTCGTGTCTTCTACTCCAGTTCCAGCTCTGTTGCGAATGGCGTCCCTCTTGAGGTCAACGAGAAGCTGCCGCGCACGCCTGCTGTGTTTTCCCGCAAGTGCAAGTGGCGCGACTACAGCGACGAGCAAGAGCCCAGCGAGGAGCATTGTAACTATCCAGCGGCCGAGACCAACTCGGAGGCATTGGAGCAGCAATTTCTGCAAGAAGAAAAGCTTGGTGCCATGGTCAAAATGAGCATGGCTGCCGCTAAAGCCAAGTACGGCAGCAATTTGAGGATTGCTTCACTCGGAGCTATTAGGAAATCCGATGACCCCTTCAGAGTCCTACATGATGGAGTCCTACATGATGGCACCCGTGGCACTGGAGTCAATGGTCGCATCAAGGTGCGAGACCAGCTGGTCTGCCCCACCGCAGGCGACATGCGCCAAGCATGCTGCGAGCTAGAGCCCACCTTCGCTCTAACAACCGACATCAGTCGCGCTCATAGACTCCTCAAACACAAAGAGGAGCAATGGGCTCTACAGGCTTGCAGGGTGTCTTCTTCTTCGGACGATGTTTGGCTGAAAACTGTCGGAACCTTTGGTATTTCTAGCGTTGCAGTGCATTGGTCCTCGCTCATGGGAGGACTATAATCTGTTGCGACAGATCGCCATTTTCCTCCTGACGTACGTCGATGACAATCTGTGGCTGGCGCGGTAGCGTAGCCATTGACGCAATTGCAACAGCGTTGCTCTTTCTCTGTGCGCTGGGACTGCCTTTCGCGTGGCGGAAGTTCCATGCAGGTTTAAGTGTCGGTTGGGTTGGATACCACTTGGACATCCAGAAGAAGCTGCTCGGTATCGGCGCCAACAAAACGCGCTGGTTGTTCTTGTTGAAAATATTGGAAAACGGATGCAACTTGCAGCGTGTTGGAGCAAAGCAACAAGCATGCCACGAGGTTTTCAATGCCCCGGCGGCCTTCTTGGCCGGCGAACCCTTCCGCGCCATAGCTTCTTTGGAACTGTTGGCGACAGTTGCAGCAGTGGTTTGCTTCGGGTTGAACCAGGCAGCTGGAGGCTCATTTCATGGCAGCGTGGTTTGTTCAGCCTCTACTGACAACTGGGAAATGCATGCGTAGTGAAGCGGCTTCTGACTACGCGTTTTCCATTGATACTGTAGCCTTTGTTATGGAGCTCGCAGCACTACTACTGCGCGACAGTGCGGAACTACGATTGGATTGGTGTCCGCGACTACGGAATCGCGAAGCTGACGCCCTGACAAACGAAGATTTCCGTGGATTTACTGCAAAACATCGAATCCGGTTTTGCTTTGATGACTGCGAAGGAATCGTCCTTCAGGATATGCTAGAGTATGGTGCAGCGGGCCAGAAAGCAGACACGTGAGAAAAAGGCAAGACGTGTGGAGCCACTGAAGCTTCGTCATCCATGGCAGTGAACCCAAACGTTCTGCGCTCGTTGGAAGCATGCGGCTTGGGTTGTGAGCACGGGTCGCCTCGTGGATGCGTGTGTTTGCATTTGCCCGTGCTTTGATGTGCAGGTTGCGATTCCGGCATATGCGTATGCCATTCAGTGAATCTGCTGCAGCATATGTTATGCCGCATCATGCTACCATGTATTCCCATTCGCGTGTGCGCATTTCATGTGACTCGGTCGTTTAATCCTGTCCGACTGACTTGTCCCGTGCTGCAGTCGTGTGCTCAGGTCGTGACCCCGGCCAGACACTGTTGGACACGCGTCCCGTTCTTCACAAAGTGGATCAACAGTCTTTGCATGGATGATCCAGGCTTGATCTTTTGTCTGCTGCAGTGCATGCCTGTAGGCCTGTAGACATGGCGTAATTGCGATTGGGAGGTTGGTCCATGGTGGACGAGGACAACTTCTTCGAGGAACTGAAGAGCGGTCTTGTGCTGTGCAAAGTCGTTGAAAGGCCACGCCTGAGCGGGTGTATCATGTCGCAACGATCGTAGCATGTGCTGGGTCCATAGAACAGGTTGGTTCCTGGTGCAGACTTGACGACCAAAGGGATCTATCACAAGCCGAGAACCCGTGGCTCGCCATGGTGGCGTTAAATTAGGCTTCAAATTTTCTGGAAGCAACTTCCAAGGTGCGACCTGTGTGGCCAACATTGACACTGCCTCAGCCGTTTGGGCGAGGTGGGAGCACCGCCTCACATAGAGACGACCGAGGACAAGGCATTGACTGTAGCCTGGCGAACAGGGGCCCCCCGTGCTGACGAATTGGGACTCGCCTCGTGAAAAAAGGACCAGTCTTGTCTAACCCTCCGCCAGGTCAATGCAGGACACATGTGTTCGGCTGATGACATCTACGACTGCAAAATTACGGCGGACCTCAGCTCAGCTGGTTTCTTTCAAAGGGATGTCTGTTACCGGCTCTCGAAGTGTCTCCTCAGGTCACAAGGTGCGTCTCTGAACTCTTCGACGCTCTGCAGATGCGCTTGTGCCACTGGCTGGGCTTGTCGCAACGCGTTGGGATCAGGCGATGCCTGCCAAGCAATCGCGCAGGCGAGAGGTCCGAAGTCGATCTCGAGACATGCTGACATCGATGAATGCACACCTGATCCCAATAGGCACGGTGGGGCAAGGAGTGGGAAAAAGGCTGTGTAGGAACAGCGCGAAATGCATGATCCGCGGAAAGGTTGCGGCCTTTCTGAGCGAACGTTGAACGATCCAGTCCAGCACTGCGATGCACTGGTAGCTGACTTCGCCGACTGTACAAAGATTATCGCCTGGACCCAAGTCGCGCCACAGCCAGCCACAGCAGTTGGAGTGTTGGAGCTCTGCAGCGAGGCGCTTTTGGTGAGTACGGGTAAGGCCTCGGTGGAGGCTTCGACCCGAAACGGCTTGAAACTGCTGCTGGTTTCTGTATTTCAGGACCTGCTCAGCCTTGCCCACCGAGAGCAGTGCATCCAGCATGTTTCGCAGAGGTTTGTGGCAAAGGGTCCGGGTGTCACGCCGCCGGACGTCCTCAGCTAGTCCAGCAGAAAGACGTAAAAGTGAGATTTTAGCATGGGCGGGTTGGAGGTTCCGGGGTTTAGAGTTTAGGGTTTAGGATCTTGCGATTTAAGAATTTCGGGTTTGGTAAGTTTGGGGTTTCAGGGAGGGTTTAGGGGTTGTGGAATTTAAGGTTTCACGGGTTTAGGGTTACGGGGTTCAGCGTTTGCAGGTTTAGGCTTTTGGGATTTCAGGTTTAGGTTTAACAAATGTCGATTTCAGGTTTAAGTTTAGGGTTTAGGTTGAATAGATGTCGTTAATTGAGCAGTCAACAGTCAGCCCCTGGATACCTTGATTTCCGTAAGCAGGGTGTTAAACTGTTGCGTTGGGTTTTAGGCGACTTCCGTGCGCAAGTATCTTGTAGCGCAAATCCTCGCGGTCAGTGTGCACATCCCTGGTGCCCGATTCCGGCATTCTCAGTGTGCGGCTTCGGTGCGCTAGTCCTTGCGCCGGTGCGCGACTCACGGCTCCCCCGAATCCACAGCCCACAGCGTGAACCTGTTTTTCCACTTTTGAATCGGTGCTTCCAGTGCAGGAAGCTGTCTTGTACCCGAAAGAGATTTCTGTTCAATGTCTGCGGTGCACTGCGATGCCAGCGGCGGGATGACAGGACTTCCGGCGCAGAAGGGGCTCAACTCAAAGGGCTGCTGCAGGAGAACGGCCGCATCCTGAGCCAGGCTCTCAGTTCCAGACACGGAGCTTGTGGTTGGATGTGGTTGGGTCGCGTTCAGAGACAAGGTGAACTTCTGGAGGCCAACGGATGCCCTGTGCTCCTCGGTCCAGGTGAGTTCGCAAACCCACCGTCGTCAGAAACTGAGCTGTTCCCCGAGCTTGCCTACCATGAGATGTCAGACCATTTGGGCGCTAAGGCCGTTTCCCGACACCATCCTGCTTCAGCTCCACATCATTTGGTACGCCCAAGCTTGTGGTGCTGCGGCTTTCAGCTCGCGTGTGGGATGGCTTCGAAGCTCAGGCGCTCTGTGGGCGGAGGCGCCCCAGGTGCTGCCGGGCCTGGACAACCCGCACAAAGCCCCATGTTTCACTCTGCCTGCAGCCGAGCACCGTCTGCTTTCACACGCACTTTCGGCTGCTTGGTTGTGCCTGCGTAACCCAGGCGAGTCCTGGAGGTGTGGCCGGTGCGGGCCTCAGCTTCCGCCGCACACTCGAGCGCTTCTTCGAGTGCTTCTCGCCGAAAGGCTCAAAAGCGGAACTGCAGCTGTGGATGCAGGCAATGTCCGAAGCCAAGCTTCTTCTGGCCTGTTTGTCTTCTTCCCGTGTCCCAGATGTTTTCAGGTCTACCCAGTTCACTTCCCTCGATGATGCGTTCTGGAGCTGGTGAAGCGACCCCAGCTGGAAACGACCTAAACGAAATTCTTGGAGGACTTTCTCTTGGACCGAGGTGGGAACATGTCCGGCCGGATGTCACGCTCCACCTTCATGCAAGCAATGCGAGAGCTCAACTTCCAGGGTGATGCCAAGCTGGTCTGGGCCTGGTCCCCATCCATGGGCCATGGGATTCCCATCTGCTGCGTAATCGTTACTGGCACAGGACACGCTGAATCGGGGTGTCCCAGGCTTCATTAGCCAGGAGGACGGACATGCATGTGAATTTGATGGCCACTCAATGTCTCTCAAGAGTTATTCTCAGACTTGAGGACTTTGCGAGACCTGAGTTGGAGGCGAGCTTTGCTCAGGCTGCGGGGGTGGCCCCGAAAGCCACCTCATGCGCTCCAGGTTATGGCGGCTGTTCTGTGATGTTAGACCTGGCAGGTCCTGCAGAGGAGCCTTCAAGAAGGAGAGGGAGAGCCACAGGAAGGCGAGGAAGAAAGGAGCGCGGAGTGCGCGTTTCCATGAGACTCCCCCATTCGGTTGCGTTTGCGCAGGAACTTCGTGGGCGGCGCAGACACTGCTGGCGAAGGTGATGGAGAAGTTGTTGAGGTGCCGGACTTGGCGACAGTTTGCATTGATGCCTTCACAGAAGGCCAAGCAGTCCGCTTTCAATCTCCCGCTGATCAACTGAGGATGCAGCCGAGGACTCCAGGGCAGTGGCGGGGCGTCTTGCGATCCAAATGTCCAATCCTGTGAGGACCAGTGGGGCACAGGGGCAGATGACCAGGCGCTTCAGGGGTTTTGCCATTGCTTGGGCGGGAAGAAGCCGTGTGCAGGCTGCTGGAGACATTGAGTCGGTTTCCTTCCTTGTACTGCCACTGGGCGAAGGCATCCTTTGCCTCGACTTCTGAATTCTGATTTTCAATCTGAGCCATGGAGGAGCCGATATCGATCTGGCCGAAGCCTGTCGGCTCGCTGGCGACGAGGTCTCCGGAGCTTTGCGTAGTCTCCTGGAGACGGGAGCCTTCAGCTGGACGTGCAGGAGCCACGTCTGTCCGGTGCTAGCGAAGAGAGGCTGCGGATGCTCAGCGAGGACTTGTCCCGATGAAACGGCGAAGCCAAGCAGTTGTATGACATTGCATGAGATGACAGGACATCCGCAGACAGCAAGATCTCCAAGAACACGGTGCCACTAGCGCGGCCCGTCTTGCTCCGGACCCAGTGCGGCATTTTCAGCCGCGAGTCCGCGTGTCTACGAGCGGTGACGCAAGACCAGCAGGTAGCAGCAGCCGCAGCAGCTGCCGCTGCTGCAGCATCATCTCTGGTTTCGGCAGAGGCGGTATGCGGGTAGAGCCACAAGAGAGCATCCATTTGGGCTTGGCATCCAGGCCTTGCAGATTGGTGACTCGCAGTCCTTCCCGGAGCTTCCAGATGTTCCAGTCTTCTCCGACTTCAAGAAGGCTGTACTTCTGCAATCCCTAGCTGCGGCGGACACTGCGTCGCGCCATGCGAGTTCCAGGAAAGCATGGAGCTTGGTGACGAGGCCCCTTGAGATGCTTCTCGACTGAAGTGTACACGTGCCATTGGCAAGGCCATGGATGCTGTCAGCATCCTGCTATCTGAACTATCAGTGCATGAGCTGCCGATGCCCACCACAAGCCACGGGCTCAGCGGCATAATGTGAAAAGAACACAGGACTTGCAGGACTTGCTCAGCAAGCATATCTCGTACAGCTTCTGCGGCGCAGCACTTGAGTATTGCCGTTGGGTGCAGGTGTGGACACATGTGTCGTAATGAGCGATGGCTCGGAGTGTCGAGCATGGCTTCAAACCAACGTGGTTGCCACTCGCTTACATCCACTCCGCCACCGTTCCCGCCTTTCAGCCGTGCTTGAAAAGCGAGGATTCTCCGCAAGAGAGTCACCTCCAGCAGGCCCCCTGCAAATCACAATGCTAGATGGACATTGCCCGTCGCATCATGCTGGCTGTGGCTTCAGCCAGGCATCTGAGGCTCCAGTCCTCGTGCTGGAAGTTTGGGCTGCCGCCTAAGCGTTTTTGTGACCTCAAGCCAATGCTACTGATGGCGAGCCGACATAACAAGACACGCCACTCATCAATGCATCTAACGCAGTCAACATACCAAAATCTGTGCCTGGATACCCTACATGGTCCCGTCAACATGCTCAAGGAAGATCGCCGTCGTAGCAGTGGTCCGGGAGTGCAGGTCTTTCCTCATGTGCTCACGGCAGAAGATTGAGAATGAAGAACTGCATAAGGACTTCCCGACTCAACCGCATCCGTCGACATTGACACAGCAAAACCGGGTCGTTCAGGCTCTGTCCAAGGGCCATCGTGCAGGTCTACGATCCTGTCCGATTGACGGTTCGTCTGTCTGTTGTGGATGTTCCGAGCCGCGTCCTTTTCCGCATTGCTGAAAAGAGATGCTTGCATCGGGCTTTGTCCGGCTTTCGATTTCGTGTCTGTCTTGCGCCTGTCAGCTGCTCGGGTTGTGCGGACTGTCCAGTTTTTCCCAATCCCAATCAGAAATCCAGCCTGGTTTCTCTTTCCATTTCGGTGGCCAACCCAATTGTCTGAGGGGATCTTTAAACGGGTACTGTAGCTCTGTGCTGGGGTTTCGATTCTTGCATGCACATGTCGGAGTACGCCCATCGATCGTAGTAGCTAGGGTATGCTTGTAACACTACCGAGGTTCTGCACGAGGGTGTGGAGCTCAATGCCAATGGTCTGGCAAGCTTGCAGATGCTTTCGCACGATGCCATACGTCGTATTTTCTAGAATCAGGTACAAGTGCTTCGCTGCTTTTATCTCAGGCGGGCGGGAAGCAGTTTTGCACGACACGCGCAAACCGAATCACGTGGCAAGACTAGGAGAGACCCTTGGGCGCTCTGCATGTGCATCAGACGGCATCAGAGATGTAGGGCTGCATCTGCCAGGTAAACTGCTCGTTTATCCTCGAAGTGCTGCAGTGAGTCCGGCAAATTGCAGACCGCGCCGAGATTGGTGGGATTTGGAGATTCTTCGCACCAGGCACGGATCCTTGTCAGCCCCCGACCTGGCCTTCGAGATAACCTTCAAGCCCGGTCAGTTGCCCAGAAGACTCTGGCGGTCGTTGCCCCGCCATTCCTGTGCTGGCACGAAGGTGCTGACCTTCTTCAGAGTGATCCTCAATCATGGGCAATTGCAAAGACTGTAAATGCCCGAGAAGGCGCGGCGGTGCGCGGCTCTGGCTTACATTCGCTGCTCGCATCTTGGATAATGGCAGGGCGTCAGCGGCCAAGCGATCTGTCCTCGTCTTATCTGGGCTCGGTCTCTTTCAGTCTTCCGCTTCGGGTCTGCTTTCGGCTAGGCGGGAGCGCGTCCTGCTTGACAATGATGTGCGGCGGCAAACATCGATTTTCAGCGTGTTGCAGAAGGAGCCGTGCATCTGCAGTCCTAGCTGAAACAACATGGGAGCCTCCATTGTATGTGCAGACTGCTTTTGTAGGAGTCATCGTTGCCAACGTTTGCAGCGGGACTCCCAGGACCTAGCGAGGGCAAGCAGGTTCACCTGAGAGACAACTTAATCGCTAGCGCGAGCGCCACCTCGGAGCCGGCTCCGAGATCCGCCATTGCGTGTCTGCTTCATGCGTTGCTAGCAGCGAAGACCTGAACCTGGGGTGCTTTTGGTTGCCTTGTAGCTTCGGGAAGGAGGGGACACAAGGTTGGTGGGGGGGGCCGCACAGCACAGGACAGGAAGGGGAAGGGCCACGGCAAGTGGGGGAAGCGCCAGGGGAGGCGGTCCTCCTACCAGAACCGGACCAATCAACGAGTCGCCTCGGAGTACTTCCCATTGACATTCTCCCAAAAGGAGCTCAAGCAAAAACGCCCCTAAGCCCTCCAGCCTCGGCGGAGTTTTTTACGAATCGGGGCACCCAGAAAGTCCCAGAGAGACACTGGAGTCGGGTCGAATTTGATGCAAGTGCACATCACTGCAGAAGGACAGCAGGTTTCACTGCGGTGTTCTTTTGCACACGCACCCTCATGGAGCAGATTGGAGGCAGCCGCAAAGAGCTGCTTTGATGAGCACCGCTTCAGGCTCTAGATTCTGCTCCTGTCCAGGCAGTACACTTCTTTGACGAGCTTCGAATTCTGAGCCGCTTTGCGGGGCCAGCGTGCAAAAAGCTGTGCCTGCGTTGCTTGAGTTGCGGACAGAGAATTGAGGCCGATCCCGCACAAACTTCGGAGCAAACTTGGGAAGGAAGTTAACGCTTGTCGATCCGCGACGGTCTTGCAGAATCAGCGGTGCTAGGGTTTGCCTTGAGCTGCTAGGCAATGCCAAAGTAAACTAAGACCCTGCAAGAAAACCTGCGTGCCTGCATGGTACGAGCCTCGCCCCGTGGACCAGCAATGTCTGCGACAGATATGCAGTTCAGTGAGTAGAGTCGAGTTGCGCGCCCCACCACAAGGTGATGAAACCGAGCAGGAAGGTTTGTACGGGAAGGCACTGGTTGGAGCAAGGAGTCGGACTCTTCGCAAATCATTAACTCCACAACAGGCCGGATCATCTCCTCGGCGCTCTGGTTCAGAGACTGTCCGGTAAGGATCCTTCGACGCCAATAGAGCACGCAGCAATGGTCCCTTCACGTTGGCCAGCCTGCGCGGACGGCGCACATGGGAGTATCGCTCCTGTCACTCCTGGTTGGTGTGCAGGTCGATGCCCACGGCGATTCGCCAGAAGGCTTCGTGTGGATGAGCCAGGGCTTCGGTTTGCCACCTACTTGGCTGTCCGCGATTCCGGAGATGCCGGAGACCTGGCTGGTCTGGGGAAGCTTCGGCCTTTGCGACCGGACACTGGACCGGCCTCGTTTCCTCCACGTTTGTCTGCCCGAAGTCGATTGGTCTTTCGGCCGCCCCGTCCGAGGCAACATGACCTACACCCCAGGTGGGAATCGATCCAAAGAGGTCCCAGGCTAAACCTTCGAGGGTGAACAGCCGAAGTGCGGTCTCTGTTTGCGTGTCCTTCTGCAGGTCGCAATCTGCTTTACCAGCACGCTCTTAAGCTGGAGCTGGAGGAAAGCATGCACTTTCTGTACTTCATCTTGGCAGATGACAGTGGAGAGTTTATCTTCCGAAATTGCTCCCCTCTGTCTTGTGGGAACAGTGATGTTCTGCCAGCGCCTTTCGAGTCTCCTGCTTCTTTTTTCCACCGACTACTGGTTTCAGACGTGCCGGCCATTGCAACACCCGTTTTCGGTATTGATGATGCAGACTGTGTGGGCGCCGCTGATATGCGTGTTTGCACGTCTACCATCGATCACAAGGTGCCTGATGTCGAATGCTCGTGCATTCAGCAGCCCAAATACCTGCCCAAATACCCTCTGCCGCTTTAACACCTGCCAAGCCAATAAGCCCGAGCCTGCCTTGATTAAGGTGATAGCATTGCACTGGTCGGTACATCCAGCACTGTTGCCGTATGAGGAGAGTTTTGAGCAAATCTCACTGTTTGCATCGCAGTGCATCGTGAATGAGCTGGCAGATGCATCTTTCCGCGGGTATTCGGTGCACTACCGCATGTTTCAACGGCCAACCACCTCCAAATCATCGTTCCCATCCATGCGTCCTCACTATGTCCGAAGTTTAGAGCCTTGTTTGCCACAGGTGCTATCGAACGGATCCTTTGCTGACAGCGCCGTCGTGAAGTGGCTACGTCCGCAGTTGCGTGCTTGTGCCACAGAACGGCTTGGTCCTTCCTTCCTGCTTCAGTCAGAGTGCGAAACTAGCTCTTCCCCGGATGAGGGGTGCAATCTGCCGAAACGCCCCTTCGACTACAGACAGGTGGTGTGTGCCTCTCCATGGGCCAAGCGGGAAGACTGTCATGCAGACGCCGCAGAGGGCAAACTCCGGCCTCCCCGTCCCTCAGGTGTGCACCACGTGCTGCGTCTGCAGCGCTCCTTCGGAGCAGGTGAACCGAGAAGAGCTCCATCCAAAGAACCGGGCATCTGTGCGAGTGACGCGAGTGGCTCCTGCTTCTCAAACCCCAGCTGTGCTTTGGAGCTGCTTTGTGCAGCCGGGATGCAGAACTTCAGCCGACTCCTGGACGCCCGCACTCAAAGTCTCGACTCGAGTTTGGACTTGCTGGACTCGTTGGCAGTGTGCTGGAAAGTCGCCGAGCCGCATCTACAGAGGCTGCTGCGAGTGGAGCGGCGCGAGGTGGATCACGAGTGTGATGCTTGTGTGGCCGTTCTGCTGGGTGCATATGTAGATCCTGAGTTTCTATCTGCTGGCCTGAGCACGGATGTAGCAGCAAACACCACACGCCAGTCTTTCTGGAACTGGTGGTGGTGTGTCGTGGCCTTCCTACACCGGTCACAGATCCGACTCTTTGCTTCTGGTTCAGTGGCGCCCTTCGACATGCTGCTGTTTCTAACAGAGAAGCTTCTGCCCGCAGAGAAGAGGCACGGGCCACAAGCTAAACGCACAGATAAGCATGAGCAGAGCAACGAACCTTCTGTCAGGCCCGGGATTGATGCATTTTCCACCGCAGATGCCTTGGACCAGCTGGCGTCAGTGGACCGGCCTTTCGCGGTCAACGAACCTGCATCGAAGTGCCTGGGCTGTCTCGGATACGTCGAACCTGGTTGGGGTTCTGCGGGTGGTCTCAATATATGAGGTGCTTATAAGGATGTTTACGTATACGGTCCTGCAAAAGCAGACGGAAAACCCATGGAGGTGCCAGATGGGGCTGGCGGTTCGGCATCTCCTGGATGCGCTGCAGGACCGGGAAAAAACACAGCGGGCTCTTCACACAGTCACGAGAAAAAATGCGACAGTGGTCCCCGTTTACAAGGACGCCCGGTGGGCTTCGGGTCATGTCTTTGCTGCCCAGCACTACCTGGCACATTGTGACCTTCTGGAGCTTGCGCACCCTATGTCGGCATACGTCTGGCACCTGTTTGCATCAGTGGGGCGCAGATGCATGAACACCCGGTATGTACAGCATCCAACTCCCCCAGAATGCGGTAGCAGATTCCGGCTTGTTCGGAGGTTTCGGGCCAAAAGCCCACATAAACTTGCCCCAAGAATCCAGCGGACTAGTGTTCATCCGACGACAAAGATCCTGAGCAGCCTCATGTAGAAATGCGCGGCGCTGTGGCTTACGACAACTTGCTCAAGTGTTCTTTGTAACATCACGAACTTCAGCTGGTAGATGCAACGCAGTGTGAGCTGCCTTCTGCTCTGCAGTCTTCTCGTGCCGAAGTGCTCTCGGTACACGAAAGATCGCTGAAGGTCTTGACTCTTGACAGTTGGGCTCTTTTTGCTTCCACCACTGCCATGAGCTGACACGTCCCGGTCTGTGCCATGGACACCACACCCAGGCAGCGAGAGTGAGTATTACTGTAATACTGCAGCGTTGGAACACGGAGAGCATCCCCCTTGACAGGCGCAGCACCCGCTTGCAGGCTGCTTTGCAGGAGGGCAGGTCCGGTTTCAGGCAGGGCACGGCAGGGCACGGCAGGGCATGGCACGTGCTACTCGTGCTAATGAGCAAGTGATGCTGGGGTAAGCTGCAGCTCTTCCCGTCCATTCTTCGCTCCCTTCGCCCCTTCGCCCCTTCGCCCAGTCCTCTCCTTGAAAGCGCAAGTGCCGCCAAAAGCGCTCCCAAGCAGCCGCGGCCTGAGCCTGGCCGAGAGCTCTGACTGTCCTCGCAACAAACGCAGCCGCAACCGCCGTGCAACCGCCGTGGCCGAAACGCAGCCCGGAGGTGCGGCGCCTGTCTGCTCGATGTCGACACAGCCAGCACTGCCCTTAGCTTGGAGAGATTTGACTGTTCCGGACCATGGCGCCGTTGAGGCAAAGAGGGTGAATTTGTGGCCGTGCTGGACTCCTGCAACCCAACGCACTTCTTTCATGTAAGGTCGTCTGACTCTTCGCAGGGCCGTGCATTGATCTCTGTTAGCTTGCCGGATTGATGCGCAGGTGCATCTCAACCTGGGCAGAGCAGGAGAACACATGCCCATTGCAACGCCCTCACTCCTGAAAGCGGTCTAGCTGCAGAGGGTGACTGAGCACAGGTTCGCATCATCTGAGGTGCAAGAACAGGTTTTCCCGGGTTGGTGTGTACGGCATTAACGGCGACTTACGACGCGCTGGCCTGGGCTGTTTCTGTTGAACCGACTTGATCTTTCTTAGATGTTGCATTCTGAGGCATCATCACTGCAGAAGAGAAAGATCAGAATTCAGAAGGTCACATGATCCCACCACATGATGCCTGTGCTTCACCTTCTTCATATCTAGCGTTCATGCAGTGGGCTTTTCCATCTCGCAGGAGAGGCAAGTGCTGAATTTGAAGATCACGTGTGCAGCATCTGTCATGGGCTTGGCCAGTGAAGCACTTCCGTGGAAAAACCGATTCGCCGACCATCAGGCAAGCGACCAGGCGGGGATGACGCTCTCCTCCTGTGCGATGGACGCAACGGTCGCTGCCGTGTGGCTTGGCAGGGCTTGGTAGGTCGTTCTACCGCACGACAGGGTTGGCAGCATTCCTTCTCGACTTCCCCTTGGGCTGGGTTTCTAATCTGCCTGTTTGAGCCTCCGGATGGCTAAGGGGGCTGCCCACTTCTACTGTGTCGGCCTGCCCCGCGCCTAGCGGCCTAGCGGTCCAAGCCACCGCTCCCCGAAGCTTCGGCTGACGCTCTCCGAGGCCCGGCGTACCTGAAGGAGACTGGTCCGGAGCTGAGCCCGGCTGAGCCAAAAAACGAAAAACCACGAGCACTCCTGCTGTCCTCGGGTCCGTGAGGTTTTGTGCCGAGTGCCAGGCTGCAGGGCTGTTTTTTGGGGCGCAAGCTGCGGGATAGAATGAAAGTAACGTGCTCCGTGACTGTCCTGCCAGGAGTTTCCGTTGTCGGAGTTCGTGCAAGATGCAGTAGAGGATAAGCAGGAGCCTCTCGGTGCCAACCTGAAGAAGGAAGCCGGGCCAGAAAGGAAAAGCAGTGCAGCTAAGCGATCTCCCTCGCAATCGCCGGCAAACAGAAAGCCAACTCCGACTCCCAAGAAGTCCAGGCCGAGTACGGAGCAAGAGGCAGCCGGGCAAGACCAGAGTGCACGAAGCTCTTCCTCGAAGAGACCCCTGCCTCTGGATGCTAAGTCGACGGTCGGCTCCAGCCGCTCCGGCCGCTCCAGCTCCACTCCGGACCCGGCGGTTCCCAGGTGGATCTACCGAAGAGGGGCCTGCTTGTTTGTGGATCTGGGCGGTCGTCGCATCAAGGATTCTGCAGCTGCAACGGTGGCGAAGTTTCTCCAATCAGTCTTGGAGAAGGTGAACGCGGTCAGCACCGGATCTACAGCTTTGGACCTTTGCTTGCTGCTCGCTGGAAATCGCTTGAGCAGAGGTGGCCTCGAAGCGTTCCTCAATGTTGCAAAAGAGACAGGACATCACGTGTCATGCCTAGATGTGGAGCGCAACCGACTCGACCCAGAAGCCATGCAGTGGCTCGCAGAGTGGTTGACAAGGCAGCGACGGGGTCCACCGCAGAAAATTCTGCTCTCTCACAATCGTGGCATCGGCGATGAGGCGGCCAAAGACTTTTTGCAGTTATTAGGTCGTTCGCAGTCAGGAAGAGAGATCCCACTTTGGATTGAAGCCAGGTTTGTGGGCATAAAGGACATCGATGCACTTTTGGATGCCGTGTCTGTGGACATCAACCTTTGCATGGCTCTGGACAGTGATGCTTGCGGTCCAGGCTGCTGCGCCTCACAATCTGCCAGTGAGCCTGGACCGCATCTGCACCTGCCGGGGATACTTGAGCAGCACTCGAACTCCGAACTGATCCCTATCGCACAAGACAACTCCACGGCCGAGACTTGGAAGCGCTCTTTGTCTGAATCGCGAGCTTCGGAGGGGGACCGTGCCAGGCATTCTGCCAAGGGCTCCGCCAGAGAACCTGAGGAGCCGGGAGACAGCCAAGCCAGCCAAGCCAGCCAAGTGGAGGCCGAATTGCTGGAGTCACTGGAGCAAGAGCGTGCTCAGCGAAAAGCGTGGGCAAACTCGTTGGGGAGGTCCGTTGTGGCGGAGCTACCAACCCAGGACCTTCCAGCACCTGCCCCGAGCTATGGCTTGTGGGATCTCGTTCGTGCAGAGCAGCGGAAGAAGCGTCGATCCGTGGGGCACGTGGGGTCGTAAGCCTACGATCCGTTCATTGCATCAACGACATGGACGCTGTGACGTCGATTGCCCGGTCAAGCCGGCAAAGCCTTTGCTGTCGCTTTCTTGGGCAAGCCAGACAGAATGTTGGTGTGTAAACTTGCCGGTCCGCGTGGTGCACTTTCGCGACACTGGGTATGCCGTGCTGCCGTGTGCTGCCGAAGCCCCTGTCAAGGGCAACTGCATCAGCTTCATCTTCGGTCACCTCATCAGAATGGTTCCAACCCGCGCTTTGCAGCAACAGTATGAAGTCCTCCAACCTCGCAGGTGTACAAATGACAAATTGCCTAGCTCGTTGACGATTGGATGCGAGGGCTCTTGTATGCTTTCAGCAGCATCGAGGTTTCAGTGAGGGGCAAGGGAAGGGCGACGTGCTGGACAAAAGTCTGCGCTCAGGGACAGGAGGAAGCTTGCTTGTACAGTAGTTCAGTGATCAGCGTTGCACCGCTGCGTCATGCCTCGAAGCTCGCATTGATTTGCTGTATCTGAGCCATGGGGAAGCGGTCGAAAGAGTGTGCAGAAGAAGAGGTAGATGAGGAGGCCAACGAAACGTCAGTATAAGACCGACACGATAAGACTGAGAGGGGCTCAGGGATCGTGTCGATCCATGCATAGTTCGATTTGCTACATGAAGGAGCAGCCAACGAAGAAGCTTCAGACTGATCCGCCCGAGTATGAGGACCCACGCCCACAAAAATGAGGCGGAACTAGTCCCCGTCTCCTTCCTGCTTTGGTCGAGGACCCTGCTCTCGACAACGATGAAGTCCCCTTCTGAGTGGCTTTCATTTTTTCTACAAGACACTGTAGGGTGCACGTGCAACCATGAGGGAGAGCCAACGGAGTTTTCGGTGTCCATTGGTGGGCTCAGCTTCGAAACAAAGCGAAAGGCTCTGCGCAAGGCAGGCACAGACAACGCTTTATTTTTGTGGTCAGTTTGTGTGTCTCCGGCCGTGACCTGTCAGGCTTGTGCGAAGTTCGGGGAGGTGGTGACCGTGCGAAGATGGGTGCGGGGAGCTCCTCGGCGAGCCGACGTTTCCTTCTCCTCAGCGGAAGAGATGGAAGCGGCCATCCAAGGAATGGAGGGCAAGGACTCGTGGAGCTGTGTTCCAGATATGTTGAGGGTCGAGGTTGCTGAAACGGGGCAGGGGGGTTCTGGCGGCTGATTAACATGGGTTTGAGGGCAAGACTGCCCCTGCTGTCTTTGCCAACTGTTTCACTCCTTGGGGTTGTGTGCAGCAATATGCAGCATCTCCGAATCGCTCGGCTCCAGCACAATTCTTCAACACCCCGTCGGCGTAGATTCATACGTTCGGGATGGCCGTTCTCTGGACGCACATTGCCAGCGTTGTAAGTTGGGTCTGTGAGCCGGTGAGTCCCGACACTGCCTGTGACAATGCAGTAAACGATCAGATTTTGCAGCTGCAGTCTGCACTGGACGAAATGCGCATCCTGCTCAACCATGAGCAACGGGTCTCGCAGGAATTAAAAGCCCAAGTGAGGGATGAGCGGAGGCGGCGAGAGATGCTTCAGCGGGAGATGCAGGACAAGCTCGAGCTTCAAGACCACGAGATGAAGACTCTCCTGGCAGAACTCGAGACGGCCAAGGCTGCGCTGCAGCAGAAGAAGAAGGAGTTCAAAGGGCCTCCGGAGGAGACCTCTGAGAAGCCGAGCAAGGTGCACAGTGGGCCCACACAGCGCCAGTGCGAGACGGAGCTGTTGGCAGCTCTGCTCGAGCATGCCACGAAGCAGGCGACTGCCTGCCCCGCCGTGAAGAAAGAATCGACCGCCCTGCAGCAACTCCGCTCAGAGCTGGAGGCGGCTCAAGGCAAAGTCTCCGAGGCGCAGGAAGCCGCGGAAGAGTTGCGGCAGCAGCTGCAGCAGGAAAAATTATCAAGATTCGAAGTGGAGCACTTGCTCGAACTGCAGCGAGAGTGTCTTCTCAGAGAGTTTCACCAACGCAAGGCCTGTGTAGCCGACTTTGCAAATTTTCTGCGGCTGCTGGGGCAAAGATACCCCGAACTTGCATGCAGCGTAATGACCGGTTGAATTCGCTGCGGGCCTCTCCAAAATCATGTTGGAACGTTTAAGAACTTTCTTGTTCTCAGCAATGGTAGGCGCGTTATCAGTCGGAAGGCCCGCACCGAGCTGCAGCATTTGAACGAATTGCAGCGGGCATCTTGTGTGCAAGAGTTTCACTACAAGCCGAAGTTGGACGAATGTCTGCAATAGTCAGCACAAACACATCTTTGCATTGCACGAGATCTTGCATCAACATGTGTAAGTCCGCCTACAAGTTTTTTGCGCTGACGTTCGTCGAAAGCCTCTCTAAGGGAGCCCGAGCAGCATCCGTTGATGCCCTAGTTTGTGATTTGCATTGTTCATTCGGAAAACTGTCCTCGAGTTCCAGCTGCTGACGATAGTCCATCCTCGAAACGAAATACACTCTCGGAAGACTAATAGGAGTGTGGTTCATGCCATGCTTTTGGGGCGCAGTGATCTCTGGAGTAGAAGTCAGCTGCGAGGTCCGTTGAAGCTTGTCCTGGGCATGTTGAGATTGTGTTCTTCTGTCGTTTCCGAGACAGTTTGAGTCCACCTTGCGAGGAGATAGACGGACGAACCGTCAAAGTGAAGGCCACTCCGAAGGAGGAAGAGGCTGCAGGCAAAAAGAAGGGGAAGGGTAAAGGCAAAGGCAAGGGAAAGGGCAAAGGCAAGGGCAAAGGCAAGGGGAAAGGTGGGGGAAAGGGAAGAGGCGGCTGAAACGCCATCATCGCCGGTGGTGCGAAGAGAGAGAGCCCTCGAATTTCCCATCGCGCCGGTCGAGCAGCACCAGATCTGAGATCTCCTTCCAGATTGCGACGACTCTGAGATTCTGGAGCCCAGTTCTGCCAGAAGAGCTCCAGGGCTTGGGACCTGTTCCCTCCTGCAAAGCAGGATGCCCTCGGTCCTAGAAGGAAGCTTCGACACGCCTGTGGAAAAAGAAGGGCTTATTTGAGGCTTCGCCTCCTCTTCACCTCCCTGCTCATAAAAACGCTCCGCTGAGGAATTCGGCTCAAGCCTTTCAGCTGATTTGGTAGAGCCTGGAAGGGCCACTTCTTTTTGACAGAACTTGGCATTTTCGAGATAGCTTGTGAGCCTGTCTTCTTCTGGCGGGCCTTTTCCTTTGTTACAGGAGGTCACGAGCATATCAGCTATGAGCTTCGCTGTAGTGCCTTATTGGAAATTGAGAGCCTCTAGGTAGCACGAAGAGCCAATGACTCGCCGTCCAGATGAGCCACGCGCAGGCGGAGTGAACACGTTTTCGGCTGCAATGCACTGCGCACTTTTCCAGTGAAATGAGCCCACACCAGGAACATGTTAGGGAAACGGCTCGAGTTCGCACGTTTCTGTTAGCGCACTTTTCCCTTGTAAATAAGCTGCACTGTGAAGTCGTTGAGCTGGACACGGTGTGTTCATGGAAGTTAGGTCTGGGACATTGACGAGGAAAAGCTTCTGCGGCATTTCTGTCTGGAGGATGAATGCAAGGAGGCAAAAAAGCTGCCGAGTTGTACTTTTGATGTGAAAAGAGGTGGACTTTATGGGCAGTTTTGAGAGCAGGTGCTTTCATGGTTCGAAGAAAGGGGCTACACGCGTCCGGAGGCCAGGCGTTTCTGCATTGTTCTGGCCCCGGCCAAGCCTTGACTATACCGTATACCATTGTTTTCAGGTTTTTTCCGAGCGGCTGGCTCTCTCCAAAAGCCGCCTGGTCATGGTTTATGTTCTTTTTGCGGGTTGATCGATCCAGTTCCTAAGCCTTGCTGGCGCCAGGCCTGCGTGAGGCCAGCAATGAGCGCGTCAAGGAAGCTGACATCCGGGAAGCCATGTGGACACGCTCAGCTTCGCGATCCCTCGAGCATTCCTTTGCTAGCCTTTGCGGTCTCAGGATGCTCGCACTTTGCAGCCTACACTGCTTGGACTTCAACAAGGCCGGGGACGACTCAATGCGTTTTGCACTCAATTTTTTGCCGGTGAGGGTCAGTCCGTGCTGCACTCTGAAGACGAGAAGAGGGAGGCTTTGAGCATGACTACGTCGCCTCGTGTGAAAGGAAGGAGTACGTTGTGCTCAAGCGAGGCGTCGGATGCGGTTCTCCCTCTCCTGAGCAACCTAAGGCACGAGCTTCGGGGCACTCATGGGCTTTGTTAGTGATTTTGAGACATGTGCTCTGTGATAGTTACATCTTCTTGAAGCGCAACGACTCGCACAACTCCGTCCGGGCGGCCACCTTGGGACTCACTTTCTGTGAAAGGCAAGATTCGCCTTTTCGGGAGAGTGGTTGCATGAGTTCCTGTCCCGACATGATGTCAGGATGTCAGGCGCCCCAGCTCCCATGCGGGCCAAGCTTCTATTTCGCCGAGGTCCCTGTGCGTAGTGCGGTGATGCCATCTGACATTACTGAGATGCTTTCTGCCGTTGAGCTGCACCCACGAAGAAACAGGTCTTGGAAGATGCATGGAACCAAGTGTGTGACACTGTGGACACAAGTGCAGCAAACCGGTGTTATGCTTAGATGCAGCATGAGTTTTTTCAGGCCAAGCGAAGGACTTCGAAGACGCTTCTGCGGACTTCATCGGTGCAGCGAGGCTTTGGTTGGGAGCATGGCTTCGGACTGCATGACCAGTATTTGTAACTATGAAGCGACGAATGAGCTTGAACAGGATCATGCCAGACGATCGCGAGATTCGAAATGCACTGGAGGACTGCAAGGCCCATTTTGCACTCGTCCGAAGCAGCTGTTCTGGCACTGGTGCTTGCTCGGCGAGGCAGCTGCCCGCAAACAAAGCAGCGACTCTCACAGCCAGCTAGGGACTCATGTGTGCGCATCTAGCTGATGGAGACAGTGCTTTTCTTGCATCGGCCTGAGAGTGATAAGGTGGAGAGGAATGATGACAACGGGTACTGACAAAATGAAGGCTTTGCCGGTCTTGTTACGTGCAACAGTGATTGGGCCCCGGTGTAGCAAAATCAGGCTTCTGCACGGAGGTTCTACAAAAGGGCACGGCGACAAATGCGTGAGGCATGCATTCCATGATTTTCGGGGAGGGTCGGATGCAGGTTCCGGAAAGAAGTGGTTGTGCAGGCAATGTCATGGATGGCCGAGCCAATGTTGGCCTGCTCCTCACGAAACGTTGAGAAGCCCGGGAACTTGATCTGCTCTGCAAGCCTTTTGAACCTGAGTTTCTGGCCATTGTGCTGCTTGCACCTTTGACGGGCACTGAGAATCCTGTCGTGTTCGCGCGAGAGCTACCGTCGTGCAACCTCGCATAACATGGCATAACCGACTGCTGCATGGTTTTGCCAAGGATCGCCGGCGCCGTGAATTTCCTTCTGAGGTGGCTGAAGGCAAAAGGTAGGTAGGAAGGCCATGCAACCGATCCTAGACGGGCCTGTGGCAGCCGTCCACAAGTCCAGTCCTCTCCCATCAAGCGTGCCAGCAGCGACATTCAGTTCGGGGGACGTTCGGGAGCGAAGATGCCTGTGCACTTCGGCCCAGTCGACCTGGCGAGACCGCGACCGAGCTGCCATGAACTCCAGCACTCTGCGAGGGACACCCTTGGAGCACTTCGAGCCAGTCGAGGATTCCAGCCATGTGCGTGCATACGAGGGCAAAACCACTGAAGAGGAATGCGACATCCTCTGCGCAGCATTAACTGCTTTGTGTTTGCTAGCCGTTGTGCTTCCGTCCTTCTTACTGGCTCATAGCCCAATACTTTCGATTCCAAGCCACCTCGGTTGGATCACTACGGTCAGACTTGCTAGACGCATCCAGGAATCCCGTAGATACGGCCATTGTGCAAGTGCAAGATGTGGTGATCCCCGTTTGGGCATCAAAGGCGCAGGGACTCGGGACCTTGCATACGGAGCGAAGCGCCGTCTCTGCGAGGAGTGGGGCCCGGAGCCCATGGGCCGCGGGAAGCCTCGCAGGGAGCGCCCAGTCCCAGTGCCGAAAGCGGCGTCTTTGGAAGTTTGGGCCCCGATGCAGCCGCGCAGGAAAAGCCTGAGGCTCCTGTCGGCGGGCCGGAGCGCGGCACCCGAAGAGAGGAAGGGCATCGGGCACCTCTGTCTATTGATGTGACAGCTGTGCCGAGGCTTGCAGATTCCGATGTCGAGGAAGCGGACATCGAGGCATTGGCGAGGCAGCAAGAGACCGGCTGGGAAGCCCAGTGCGGCTGATGGCAACGTCCTGCTCGCGTCCAGATCCAAGCTCAGAGCGGGGGAGTTCATCCTCGGCGAGGAGCCGAAGCCGACGCAGGCGATTCCCCGTAGCTGCAAATACCACTACTGACTACTGCGTCACTGCTGTCACTGCTGCGTGCGACTACTTGCGCTGTGGTTTCCCTGTCAGGATGAATCCGCAGAGGTGCAGGCTCTCCCTGTGTTTCTGAAGAGTGAGGGATCCCTGTGTTGTGGTGCGCAGAACACTGGTCCGAGTAGATGTAACTTCACCTTGGGGGTCCCTGTCTTCTGAAGCTTCCATGTCAAGCTGTCAGGACACCGCAAAGCGAGGTGTTTGCCTAGCACCGCTGCTTTTGCAGCGGTTGAGCGAAATAGAGTACAAGGCCAGCCCCGGGGGGGGAGGAGAGCGGCAGACCCGAGAGGACCCCCTCCCTCCTCCTCGTCATCATCATCGTCATTATCATCATCGTCTTCTTCTTCATCCTCATCCTCATCTCTGCATCTTCATCTTCAGCACCCAAGCTAGTGAGCACAGTTGAGATTCAAGCTGGAGATCATTCGAATTAGACCGGTTATCGTAGCGATAGACTCACACTAGTAGCAGTAAAAGTGCATCAGTGTCAACGAATGCAGGCTTTTGCCTTGCAAAGGTGCCCGAGGGTGCGAAGCGCGTCCCTTGGATCGCCAGCGCCCTGGACACTTGCCAAGGAAGAGTAGTTGCAGAGGACGGTTTGGCCGAGGACACCATGGCCATAGATGGACAGAACAACCTGCCAAAAGGGGTCAAGCGCTTGGTGCGGCTCTGGATGGTCGTGATCGCTCCACTGCAGGCTTTCTGTGAATCTAAAGATGGTTTTGCATCCGATGCAAGAGTTTTGTGATCAAGGTCACTGCCAAAGATGGCGTGAAACTGGAAAGCGCCTTCCTAGGTGACGCGATGGGCAGTGTGGTCATCAGTGTAGTCGTTCGGAATTGCTTCGACGAGCTCTCTGCTTTTGGCCACGCTCTTGTGTCACTCGTTTTCGGCTTGCCTAGGACCTTGTACAGCCACGGATGTGCATAGTCCAAATTGAGAAATTCTCCTCGCCGAGCCTATGTTTAGCCAGTAGCCTGGGTCGAGGGCGGCAGAGAGGCAGAGTTTCTGGGGCGGCAGGCATGGCTGCAGAAGCAGCTGCTGAAGGCTACCGCAGGCCTGTTGCAAGGGTTCACAGCTCTGCTAGGTTTTCTTGTAGCTCTGTCAGGTTGCGGGTCATGAAGATCCCCTGTACGAGACCGAATGACTTCTATGCCGAGATGATGCGGTGCGAGCCCTGCACGATCTCATTTTTGCTGTGCTCGCCGAACTGTTCTCTGTTTGAGCAGAGGCCTGACAAGCAAATGTACCGAGTTCGCCAACAGGCAGCAGAGGAGGAGCGACGAATCAAGGCGAGATGCTGCTGCGAGGATAGCCTAGTTTTGGATGCCGATCAAAGTATCGTGAGACCTGCAGATTGTCGAAGACAGAAAGAAGCACCAAGCGAGCAAGAAGTTTGCCAAGAAGGCTGTGATTGACAACAAACTACTCACGAGTCCTTCGGCCATGAGCAGACTCACATCCTTCTGGGTGCGAGGCAAAAGCCAAGAAATTGGAAGCCCGGGCGCAGGCCTGGAGAGCTCTGCATTGATTCAGTTTCCGGTGATCTCTGAAAGCCTTGAAGCATGGGAGGAGAAAAGGACGTCCCTGGAAGAGATTGCAAACTGGCGGTCACGGAAGAAGAGCGAAGGAAACAACAAAGACGATCAGGCATGTCTGTGTCGCTGTGTCAGGCATCTGGCAGTCTTCCGGCTTGGAACTCTGTGGCTGCAGGACTTGGAAGAGATTCTAAGTCGACAGGGGAAGAAGAGAGACCAAGATGGGCAACTTGGCAAAGATAAGTCGGGAGAGGGAGCCGAAACAGAACCGCGTTGCGCCATGTCCTCACAGGCAGGGCAAAGGCAAGGGCAAGGCTGGGTCCAACAGAACTCGCGGTATTGTGGTAGCGGCATGGTCGTGTCACGGTCGTGTATGTTTCTCGTGAGGCCATGAAGTCGGCCAAGCGCCGCAACCTCGATGAAAAGTACGGTTTCGGTGGGAAGAAGCCCCGCCCTGAAGTGGGATACGCAAGAGTGGCGCTCCAGTCAGCAGTAAGTTTGCCAAAAACCAACCTGGCACCAAGGAAGCGAAGCAAGCAGAATGACAAGAGCTCCACTCATGACATGTCCGCGTCTCCGTGGGTCAGGAGCTTGTTTCAGCCGAGCCGAAAGACTTTGTCCATTTCCGACCTGTGCCTGGTGCCCAGGGAAGAGGCAGGGGCAAGGGCGGCAAGGGCAGAGGAAAAGGCAAGGGCAAAGGCCTGGCTGTTGTGGCGAGCCGAGCGGGCCGAGTGGCCCAGACAACAGCGTCTTTGAACAGGCTCTGGCAAGAAGAGGACTGCGGATGTCTCTGCATGCTCGACGAGCGGCTAGGTTTTGATGCGGAAACTGAGCAATGCCACTCCAAAAGCTGCAAGAGCTAAGTTGCTAAATGGTCTGCAGGAAACGATAGCGGACAGCTGCACCTGCTAAGTCTCGGCGGCCGTGAGCTGCAAGCTAGCCGCGCAAATGGCCGAGCACGGGTGGGCAAAGGCTGCAAGTTGGGCCGCACATCAGTGCAGAATTGTTCACCATGTTGCTTTGCGAAACCCAGCCTTGTTCTCTGCGTCGCCGTTGCAGACTCAGATAGGCCGGTAGGTCTTTCCGCTGCTCAGCAGCGAGGCATCGCCGAGGCCAGGGAGATGTGGAAAGTCTGAAAGTATTCAGACTGAGAGACCCTCTTTTAAGACTTTTAAGTTCGGAACAGTATAATTTTTATTGGCTTCTGCGGCTTCGTTTTTTCGCTGCGCAGGATGGGGGAAAACTTCGACGATGCTCCTCGGGCTGAAGTCTGAAGCGTGGCCCCTTGGATGTCTTGTGGGTGGCAGGCTGAAACGCTGGTGCTGGGTGCGCACCTGGCAGAAGGCCAAGCTCAGCTCAGCTCAGCGCTGCCCGAAGTTTCGTCGTTTCCGTGAGGCGATGCCCCTGAGGAGGAAGGTAAGGCCGATGTCTTAGCCTTTTCTGATTGCCTCTGACCCACCCTGACTGTCACCTGACGGTAGGCTTTGTTTACGAGGCTTTTGCGATGCAATCCGAAGCGATGATTCTGGCAATGGCAGCTCGAGGGGATGGGAGGTGATGCAGGTGATGATACAAGTAGCGATGACAGAAGAGATGGGTCTAGCTTTCCATTTTCCAGCGCAAGGAGATACACTTTCGGTCTAGGGACCGCTACCTGACCGGTGACAAGCAGATGTTTCGGTCATTGAGACTGCCGTTGTTTCTCCCTGTGTCTGTCAACATTAACTTCTCATTACACCTGCGTGCCAGCAGTTTTGATTTGACGGGCATTCTGAGCTGAGCTGTCCAGGTAGATGATGGCTTATTGGACTTGCTCGGAGACGCCTCGGCAGAAGCAACAGAGAAGCTGCCTCAGCATGCCTTATTATACTGAGCGGGAACAGGAGCGATACTCATTTACATGAGTGCTCATGACGGGTGCTGCGCCTCAAGAAGCAAGGTCAGCAGACACAGTGCCAGGTGCAATACCTGGTGAGAGTGTTTTGGCCCGGAGCCTACTGTTCCCCACCGCGCTCGTCATTCGCTCGTCTGGCAGTCCTTGACCCGAGGACATGGCCGAGGAAGCGACGCCGGAGCCCACATCGTCAGACGCTGTGGTGACTGCCGCCTCGGCCGCTGCCGCGATCGCCGCCGCGGCCGCTGCTGCGACCGCCGCCGCGGTGCCTGAAGCTACAGGCGAGGCCAGCAAAGGCGCTTGCACGGTGTCGGCTCCTTTTCACACATCGAGGTGTGAAAAGAGCTGCCACGCAGACATTGGACTTGAATTTGGACGTCATGGACACGGACATGCAAGCAGGCATGGGCAGATCGGCACGGCGTGCGTGCTTTGAGTGCCTGGAACACTTCCAGGTCCCGTGTCCGATGAGCACACAGGGGAGCCTGACTTAATCGGCTGATGCGAACTTGTCGTGGAGTTGCTGCTGCGAGTGCTTTGAGGTGTTGTCTTCGGTGAACTTTGCCACCGCCACAGACATCGTGCCAGGGGCTTGGCTGTAAATCTGTTTGCTCTTTCGCCTACAAAGCTTCTCTGAGGCTGAAGTGCGATTGCCTGTCCGTAGGCCTCCGGGCCCTTGTTGGATGAATCTCTCCATGACTGAGACAGACGGGGTTAAACTTGTAGCATTTGTCACCGGGCCGAGCTTGAGCAGCTTGAGCATGATGTGCATGGGAGGCAGAGACGAGTCCAATTTCGCGACCTTGACTGATCCGTGCGAATCCCAGATTCAGGCCCAGGCCCAGGCCCAAGCCCACATGTCGGGCGATCCGTGTGGGGCTCTGTGTCTCAAGGCGAGTCTCGAGCGAGCAGTTTCGAGTCCACCGGAAGACTGTTGGAGCTGCCGGGCCGCCGTGGAGCTACGAACTGGAGGAAGTTTCGGGTGTGCGATGAGTATCCGGACAATCTGTGTCGGACGGAATGTTGGGAGAGGACTGCTCTAGAAACGGCACGCTGGTGAACAAGAAGCTGGTCCGAGGAGCGGCTTGGCTGCTTAAAAAGCCGCCACTGACTGACCTTACTGGCAGCATACGCATTGTACGTTATACTGTTGTACTCTGAGAGATGCTACTTACTTGCTCAGGTCAGGATTGCCTTGAAGGATCAGGACATTTATCACTTCTGTTTGCCGCGAAGCACAGCGTTGGCTGTGAGCTCACATTAACATGTGCTCGTTGTAGTTAGTGACCTGTGAAGGATTTGGTGGAGGTGCTTCCAGCTTCGAAGGCAAGCCCGCGAGCTCCGAGTCAAGCGGAAGCGTCTCCTCTTCGCCAACGTTTGATTTCGGCATTTGTCCAGAATGTCTTCTTGTTTCAGGAGGTTGCTAAACAAACTTGCATCCATGTCCCAAGCGCGTTCATGCACCGTAGCAATGTCCGTACGTGCTAGCAGCTCGCACTAACCTGCTTAGCTTGCATGCGCGCCCGAATGCTGGTACATGTAGCTCGTTGATGCCACCTTCGCGACTACCTGTGGCTGCATGCTGGCAGTTCAGGTAGCTACCGTGTATCCATCGTTCGATCATACTTGATATGTGAGGTTGGTCAAGCTGCAGCCATCGCGTTTTTGTTCCATTCTCCAGATGCTGATGTGGCGATGCCCAGAGATGCGCTTTCTTAGTTCCGCAGCTGCATCGAACGGAAGCCGGAGCCTAGGTGCCTGAAGGCCCAGCAAAGAAAAAGATTCGATTAGAAGGCCCCCTTCTGTGTCCGCACAACTTAAACCATGCACATGCTTTGATAACATCAGGCGACTCAGCCAGTGGCAAGGCTGGTGACGTTTCTGGCTCAGGAGTAGACAGGTATAGTATTCGCACATCGCAAGTATCCGTGATGGCAAAAGTTCCGCATCGAATAAGGAGGCCATCTTTGACGGCGCGATGTGTGCAATCTGCCAGGAGGTTCAACGCATTTTGAATCTTCTCTTGTTGCTCTCAGGACGCGGGAAAGGCTCCTTGCTTTTGCTTTCTGCCTCATACTTGGCAGGTGATGCACCGTCCCACCAGTGCGTGGGCCCGAGTTGATGCAGTTCCTCTTTTAGGAAGGTTTTGGGCATTCCTGGGCGTGGTTAACTGGTCAACTTGATAGCGAAGGTACAGCCATGCATGCACAGTGCTGCCGGGCATGTTTCGCACGTGCAACTCAAGCGGTTTCGGAACGGGAAGAGAGTGGCAGCAGTGGCAGGCTTCTGCAGCTCCTGCCTGGGTGGCTGGTTGAAGCGGCCTGGCGACCGAATTCCGAGGCAGACGGTGGGTTCATGTTGGTTCTGTTGGTTGGGGCTGAAGCCTGCCAGCATCGAGCACCGCAGCTACAGTGTTTACTGATGTTATGTTGAGCTCTGAGGCCAGGGTATGATTTCCAAGTCGTTTCATGCCCTGATCTGGATAGTCACAACATTGCGGCACGCTGGCAATTCATGATGGTAGTTTTCAGAGATCCATTGGATTTCCTCCGTGCACAGGTGTCCAATCTGCCGACAAGGGGTCGCCGGAGTTGGCAAGAATCACGCGCTTGACAGCATGATCGAGGGTCTGCTGAAGGCTGCCTTGCCCAACTGTCTTGCCTGTATGACGAAACAGGGTTGATGTCCCAGGCACATCCTGATCGACAGCGTTCAATCGCAACAATCTCTGATCTGGACAGTCGCGATCCGCTACACGAGCATCGCATGCAACAGGTCCGCTCAGCAGCATGCTTCATGCTTCTGCTTCGCGCCACCAAGGACTGTGGCTACGACCTGCTGAAGCTTCGTGGGCCTGGTGATGTTGCTGCAGGCCCTGAGTGTAACTCGCCGTGCCTTCTTGTGCTATTGGCAATCCGTCTTCTGCTCTTTGCGTTGCCCTCTCCTGCAGGTATGGCACGTATGGTAGTGGCTGCAGCAGCTGCTGCAGAAGCAATGGATGCAGAGGATTCTGAGGACCATTCTGAGACAAGAGCTCAGCCGGGAAAGCCCCAAGCTTCACAAGGTCATTTGGCTGCACCTAGGCATGAGCACGAGTCATATTCGGAGGAGGAGGAGGAGGCAGGGTGCTCGGTGAACTTGTAAGATATGTCGCTCGTCACTGCCTGCCGTGCCTGCCTCAGCATATTTCAGGCCTCTGATAGTTGATCTGCCGGGTTATCTACTTACTGCTTTCGGAATGACTGGAGTGAAAAGAGCGTAGACAGTACCAAGCATTCCCTGTTGCGAGGAGGCGCATGCCTGGACTGCACCAGGAGCCCCGGCCTCGGTTTCTGTGAGATGGCTCATGTTGTCCGCTCTCGCTACCGCTGAGGCTTTGCGACCCGCCTGCATCCATTGTGGAGTCCCAGCCTGGCAGCCCTTACGCCGCTTGCTGAGCCGGTCCACCTGAGTGTCCCTTTGACAGCAAGGAGCACGGTTTGCGAGGTGCGGCTGTGGACCTCAGCACCTCGTCACCCGTTCCAGTCTGTGCCCCAGATGAGATCTACCTCGCAGAGGCCACGGCTCTACCCTAGCCGCCTCAACAGGCCACCGCGCTGATGAAGTCAGCACTGGTGCGTAACTTGGGCGCCGGCGTGGTGCTGTGGTTGGCGGCTTCGTTGGCCTTCCCAGGCAAGCAACGCCTTCGAGCAGGAGATCCTGCAGGCAGCGCAGCCTGCACATGCCTGCAGCATGCTGCAGCAGGCCCTGTCAAAGCTGAGGAATGGCTCCACAGCAAAGGATTGAGCCTTCAACAGGCGAAGCTTTATGCGACATGTGCCAAGTCGTAAGGTGTGTGTGATGCTATTACACCGCCGCTCCTGCAGGCGATGCAAAGCGTTCTCGAAAACCCTAACCCAGTGCGGCACCGAATCTCTTCAGGGTCGCGAAGGCGAAGTGAAGTCGCACGTACGAGCGCAGCAACTGAAGGAAGGCGTTTCTGCGGTGGAAGTGCGCAGCGCGCCGGTCCCCGGAGGAGAGTCTTTGAAGTGTCGGTACTTGTAGGGATCGTGCCAGGGCTGAGCTATGCTCTAAGCGCTTCGTTCGCATTCGAATGCCATGCCATCGACAATGCACAAGCTTGGGCAGAGGGAAGAATCCGAGCACGGAGGCGCACCTTGAGACATCGCTGCGCTGCAGAAGCAAGGAACGTGATCAGAATTTGGTGAGATCTGTACTTCACTGGTTGTCGGCTTGATTCAGCGTGCAATAAACACAGTCTTGGATCTTTAAACCTTGCCCCGATCATGGAGGACAGATACCCGTCACTTGTCCCTAGTAAGATACGGAGTCAGGAGGGCCCGGGGCGCTCGTGCACCTGCCTGTTGGTGCGACGCACTTACGCTTGTGATAGCATCACTTGGTCCCTCTGCCTTTTGCTCTACACCTCCACACATCCATAGACTTTGATCACAAGGCCTGGACCGAACTGGCGATGTGCCAGCCGTGCAGGCAGCCACCTCTTCGCTAACTCAGTGCTCGTCCGAGACGACTTTCTTTCTCTCCTCTTTTGGTACACTGCTGCAGTCAACTGGTTTTGCGCAGCGTCGCCACCTTCTCAGAGAGCCTTCCACTCAGGTCCAAAGCCATGAGATTTTTCCAACTTGCGAGGTCTACTCCATCCGGGAGCGAATCCAGAACGAGGACCCATCATTTCCGGAACAAGATCCGGAAGACTCGCAAGAGACTGAAGCTCCGAAGGATCTTCCGGAGAGAGCAAGGGGCCATGGCACTCAGAGCACTCACAGAGCACTCACGGAGCACTCACAGACTTAGACCATGAACCACAGAGACCAAAAACGGCGCAGCTCCTAAGATCCGAGGACGCAGAAACTGCTGGTATGGGCACTCTTGCCGGACGCAAAGCCACAAGCCCCCTTGCCGGCACTTAGAACTTTTGGCATCCGGGCCGACGCTAAGCTGAGAGTGCTTTCGCTTAAGGCGGGCCCACGCCGAGCGCCAGGTCCTCAGCTGAAGGTTTTCTGCTACATCGGCTCACCTGCCACACCCAGGTTTGAATCACATCTGTGCTCAAACTCGTTTTCATTGAGACGTTGAGAGCGGGAACCTGCTGCAACGTTCTTTGGCACCAAATTCTGCGCACGCCGGCTTCCTCTTTGCGAGCTACCAGAGTTCTGCTGAGATGCAGCCATGTACAGTGTGCCTAGAGGATCCTAGGTCTTAGAGGTACAATCGGCTGCCAGAGCCTGCTGTGGAATCGCATCGAAAATCAAAGGTTCATCCCCTTCGATTGGCCACGCTGCTTGAGTGGGTGAGTGGGTAGAGCACCCACAGCATCAACTTCGCATGACTACCGACTTCAAGATCCAGGCTATGAGACAGCATGTCCACGCTGCTTCGAACGTGAAGGGTCGTCAACAGCAGTTGGATCGAGACATCGGCACATCATGCAATCTATTGCCAGTGATACTCAGCAATCAACTGCGACAACGTGCGATGAGAAAGCTGAAATTCCACGAGCAGAAGTTGCTCAAGAAGGTTCTGGCCACATCTGAATCGCCACGGGGCCAAAGACGGCTGGGCTGCTCTGTCATGACTTTTTGAGGTCAACTTTTACGATTGGAAGTCGACCGACAATGTGCTTGGCCCAGAACTGGAGCACATCTCCGCGGTTCGTCGTTCAATTGGCTCCGCTCAGGTGCGAGAGTCGGCCTTGCTTCAAAAATATCAGATAGAGAACCGCGAAGACTTCACCAAGCACCTTCCCTCGCAGTGCACTGCAGTGTCGTTCGTAGACCGGACCCGACCAGTCCGGTTCCACTCTCCCTTGGAGCCAGGTATCACAAACTGGCAGGTCTGGTCACGAAGGTGGTTGCGAAGCTTCGGAAGATGAAGGTTCGACTGACGGAAGACTCTGACACACTTCGCACGAACGCCCCTGTTGCAAGCCTTACCTTTTGGCTTCAGTTGCGCGCAGGCTTCCGACGAAGACCGCATCAAGATGACGGAAATCTTGCTGGACAAGCTCTATTCGCTGGCTCTGATACAAAACAAGCAGAGCCTCGAGGACAGAGGGCAGATGGACAAGGCTCTTCATCAGTGCTCTTTTCTAGATTGAGGACTGTGTGGACTTGCACACTTCCAGATTCTGCCGACGGCGCCTTCCGGTAGTGCTCGTGAAGATGAAGCCGATCGCCAAGAATCTACCGTTCTTGACTGGGTTGAATGATGGCTCTCCCTGGTTTTCTGCACGAGATTCTTTTCGACGTGGTGTTTTTTCATGTTCAGGTTGTGCGAGAACCTGCCTCAAGCGATCACGTACATCAAGCAGGCGAGGGCTCCGGGACAACGCCATCTGTTTAGAAGCGTAGGCATGCTGCCACAGGGTGAAGTGCGAATCGGCCCGGACTTGGCCACCAATCCAGCGCTTCATGTGACGCGAGAAATGGAGGACCCGCGGGAACAGCTCAAGATGTGCTGCCAGTTCATGATCTGCAAGCTGTGCTTCGAGGATCACATTACCTGGGCCGAGGGGTCCAAGATGAGACGCCACATCAAAGAGTTCAGCAATGAGGCACACCTACTGGTACTGGTCCTGATATCTCCATCAGGAAAGCCTTGAACAGCTTTTGCGGCAGGTCGACGATTTCGACCTTCTGGGCAATTAGGCGTGCTTCAGAAACGTCGACAGTTTCACCCCGCAGGAAAAGCTTCGCCCCTCCAGGCGTTGGTTTGCTTTCTACGGCTCGGTTAGCTCCACATTTTGCCCTCAGACTGTGACTGTACAATCTGTACATGGGCCACGTACTGCAGCCACTCAGGCTTGCCAGATTCCGGATGCTGAAAGCACGGTCCGACGTCGGAGCTTTTAACCTTCAAGCCGACAGAGGAAGCTTCGGGATTGTGCACCGCAGCATCAGCCGTCAACGAAGGATTTCAAGCACCAGCCCACTCTCCCCCCGAGAGCCCAGAGACCTCGTGGCCTCGTCACTGGAATGCGCCAGCCATGGCTCTTCTGGAAAAGGCTACCGATTTCCGACGGAGTGCGACAAGGCATGCTGGTTGCGGCTCTCGTAGCACTGTCGGGGCTGTCCCCCTTGCCTACGTTGGTACTCAGGACCATGTCGGAGAAATGGTCGACCTTCTCAATGCCTGGAGCCTTCAGGCGTGTCCAGCCATTCCCAGTCGTGCCTGGGGAGCCGTGCCCTTGCCAGGAGAGCCAGGGAAGCGATGAGCGGTCCTGCGAAAATGCCTCATGATCCTCTGGAGGCAGGGAGCCAAGGCCTTCCGGCAGAGGGGCTTTCCTCGCGACTCCGCTTCGAGGACCAGCGCGCCGAGCTCGTCGAGCTGGACGCCTTGATTTCCATTCTGGGCACTTGCGCTTGGACCTTACAGCACGGCCTTGAGCAGCTATTGAAGTGCAGATCCCTGCCGAGCTTTGCGCTCGGAATCTGAAGCAGAGGCCAGCACCCTGTCCACCTCTGTCAACATGTCTCCGACTTACCCGACCGGTTTCGCCGCGTGTAGCTTGGTGAAGTACGTGAGAAAGGCACGAGATAGCATGCTGTTATGCCGCAAGGCTTGCTGCTGCACCGAAGCCGTTGTTTGACCCGCTCAGCCGGTTCTACAGTCGGGGCCCCACTACTCACGTAGTCCTGGTTGTTTGAGAAGTTTTCCGAGGTCAAGGAATGCCTGGCAGTGCGGCCATTCAGAGACTTTGCGTTCAAATGGACTCTTTCGCAGCTCATGTCCAGGACAGGTGTGTTTGCAAATCGTGAACGCATGAGTACGCACTGCCTCGGAGCATGTTTTGGACATCCTCACAGGAGCACGATGCCGAGATCGAGGCATTGCAGACGAAGCTTCGGGGTCTGTCGGAACCCACATGACGACGGCGCTTGTGGGTTGTGATGAAAAACGTGTCGAGGTCTGAACGGAACAAGACCGTTCATCAGCGCAGCACTCGTGACGTCGTAATCTGGGCGGAAAGGGAGATGTTGCACATGCATTTCAAGGTCATTCTCATCCAGAGATGCTGCTTGGACAAGTCAGGCGCTTCGTCTGGGCTCGAAAGCAGACGTACCATGCGACTCGTACGTGCTGTTTGAAGGACCACTATACCAAAAAGTTGGAGAAGCTTCGTGATCAGATAGCCAAAAGCGGAACCTCGCTGCTCTGGCATGCTCGGAAAAGCCGTACCTGCCCTGAACTCTCAAGCAGTTTTTTGGCAAGTTGTGCCAGGTCTGCACTAGTGGACAAGCTCAACAGGAACGAGGAGAAGAAGCGGACCAGCCAGCAGGCCTACACCAAGCTCACACAAGTATGAGGCTGTACTTTTACAACCAGCCTGGCCACCTTGTGATCAGGAGTTTGCAACACGCACCAGCGAGACAGGCATTCTGAGATGAGAGATGCTGTATGCATAGCACTCTACGTTCCTTGAAACGCAATGGCTGCCTCAGGACGGCAGGTGAACGAAGCTTTGTCGAACAGGTGGCAAGAGATTGGACAGGTTCCAGCAAGATCAGTCTACCCAGCTTCGAATGGCTGACAGACTTGCTGCCTCTTCGCGTAGGTTGTGGCGGAGCTGTGCCAATACTACACAGTTGTTTTTCAGGCCCGATTTCCAGGAAGCGGAACATCTCCACGTTGCGTACGTGAGTTTGCAGAACCCAGGCAGCAGGGACTTTGCGACAGGAGCTACAACAGGCCGGAAATTTGATCACTTCCAGTGTTGAATGCCAGTTTGGATGGGCAAGGTTTGTGCAGAACTGACGAAGCCCTCCACCACGCAAGCCCTCGCCCGGATGGGTCGGGACTGCCTGCACAGTGCGACCTGGTGATCCATCCCTTGCTCGTCGATGACAGATAAAGCGTACCTCGCAAGAATTCAAGATGCGCACTTCTTTGGAGGAGATCGCCTCACAAGCACAGGAGACGGCAAACACCTTCGTGGACTCACTCAGGGCCAGGCGGCTGATCCCACTGGTCGACGGTTGCAGTTCGACAACTCTATGAAAGGCAAGGTGTGAGAGCCTCTAAACTGCCGCCAGGTGTAGCAAGTGGAACGAGGGCACGGAGCTCGAACCGTGAAGGTTCGGCTTGACACCTAGATGGATCTGCTCGGACAGGCGAGGGTGCCGCTGGCCCGCTGGCGTTGGCGCACCAGTACAGATCATCAAGGTGCAAGCGGTTACATCGCGGGCCGTGGGCAACTGCACTCCTCTGGCAGGTCGAGCCTGTCCAGCTCCCAAGAGGCTGACTCGGCACGTCCACGCAGTTTCTTGTGACCTATGTATAATCGCAGGCCCTGACCTATGACGGCGGCGAGATCATAGAGGCACCGGTTATCGGGGGGTAGATTTGTCCATGCAGACGTGCAGTCTTTTTGTTGCAATACAGGGGCGACCGGTCGCAGTCGGCTACCCGAACGGTTCGAGCTGGTCAGCTCCTGACAGCCCGACGAGCAGTTTTCTTTTGGAGGGAGCATACTGCCAAATCCTGCCGGACTAGTTGAGGCAAGCCACTTCCTCCCAAGGGTGGCCAGTGCCAGCATCGCTGGAGACTCGGCTTCACATGAGCCAAGCAGAGTGCAACCGAAAATCAGTGGAGGACTTGGCCAAACGAAGAGGCACGGCTGAAATCCAATAATGCCTTTGATCATACTTATCTCGTTACCACTACGCCGCATCTGCGATGATGTTGGCAGTAGCTGTCCAAGGAACATGCTGTGAGAGTGACAGTCAGAGTTGTCGGACACAGAAGTTTAGTAGAAAACGACTAGTAGTATCAGTACTAGTACAAGTGCTACTGCTAATGGGTGATTCATATTCCGGTAAGTACTATTACGCTGGACTCTGCTGGACAACAACAACAACTACAACTACAACTACAACTACAACTACAACTACAACTACAACTACAACTACAACTACAACTACAACTACAACTACAACTACAACAACAACTACAACTACAACAACTACAACAACTACAACAACTACAACAACTACAACAACAACTACTACTACTACTACTACTACTACTACTACTAGCACCACTACTACTACTACTACTACTACTACTACTACTACTAGCACCACTACTACGACGACGGCGGAGGCGACGACTACGACTATTATTGCTACTGCTGCTACTACTGCTGCACCACAACGA